TTCTGATTGGGGTACTAAAAACTCAAGCTGCTTCCTGATTGTGCTGCTGCCTGTGACAGGATGGGGTACACCAAGGAGAGCTGTGGATTTAATGATGGGCAGCTCCAGCTAGCAGCAAATGCTGCCTCCTCCTCTCCCCCAGCTTGCAGCAGAAGCAATGAGCCTTCAATGCTCATTGGCTTTTTATCTTCCCTTTAGTTGTCCATTTCCAGTTTCGCAGTGAGCTGAACTCTCATTCTTGGAGCTGTAAAATGCAGCTGTGCCTGTCCTACTGAAAACTCCTGGTTCTGATAATAGCCTGGTAGAAGATGACTGCATTATTCTAAGGTTTTATATGTTGATTAAACACATCAGACATTTGACTGTTTAAGGGGTTTAAATGTATATTTGCAACTTAAAAAGTATTTTATCTTAATATTTGGTGCTGAATTTCAGCAGCCTCATGTTTATTACAGGCAAGGGGTTTCCTTTTTGGACAGTAATGCATTTTGAAAGCAAAGTGCTGTGTTTCTGTTAAGTAGTCAAAACTGGTTATTTAGTTTTCTGAGAGCCCCAAATTGTTAAAATGAAGTGATTGTGATGCTTCTGTGGTCCAGTGGGCTTTATGTTAAGGTTCAAGAACTCATTTTGTTGCTGCTAGCCTGGAGTCACCTCCAGGATGGTTAGAAGTGACCCCATCAGTCTGTCACCGCATAGACTTGTGAGGGCTGTCCCCAAAGACAACCTGGTTGATTACCTGCGTGTTTCAATTCCAAGAATGATGTGTCCTGGAAAGCAGAAGGAGAAGAGGGGGAAGTGCATGCTCCACATTTACTGAGGATGTTTCCTAGTCTCAGAAAACTTACAAAAATGCCGTAACATGGCATTGCAGGATTTTTTGTTTGGTTTAAGCTTCTGGTTGGATTCTTTAAAATTAAGGGAGAAAAGTAGCATATTTACTAAATGATGGCATCTCAAAATCAAGCTCAGCTTCATCTCTTTATGCTGTAGCGTACCTAACTTTGAGATTTTAATTTTTTAGGGGTTATTTCCTTTCTCATGTGATAAACTTCCTTGGCAAGGATCTGTATGTATTTTTTTATGTTCCTGTTCAAGACCTTCTAAGAAGTGTGCCCTTTAGATGCCACGTGTCAGGAACTACTGGCTGTTCAAGACCTTCTAAGAAGTGTGCCCTGTAGATGCCACGTGTCAGGAACTACTAGCATGCTCTTAGCTGTGTTTTGCTTATAGCTTGTCATTGTTTCAGGAGCAGGTTTGTTAGTCCTGGTAGTACAATACCACAGCTGTACCATCAGAGTTAGTATTCCTGGAAAAAACATTGGAAATTCATCTTTCCTTTAGAGAGAACACCCATGGTGGTTTAGAATTCCTTAATTTTCCATAGCATAGGTGTTTGCTAAAGCATCAATGATTTGAACCTTGAAGATGCTAAGCACCATTATTTTCATTCAAGATGACTTGGGAGAAGTTAGACACAGGTCATCAGGAACAACAGGCTGAAGAAATCTGGCGCATATGCTTCAAAAAGCAAAGTGTTGGGCACCTTAATGCTGCTTTCTACATGGTGTGGCTTTGACAACCTGATCTTTTATTATTTAGAGCATCATATTATGTGTTTTTAATCTTTCAGAGACCCATATCACACCATCGCTGCAATCAACCCAGAGAAATTAAACATCTTCCAAACAGTGAGAGAGATAACAGGTAACACACCCCTGGTTTCCTATAACCAGAACTTCTCACTTTGCATTTTTGGTTGTCATTTCTTTGGTTTTCTGAAGATCACAAGGTACTTTTTTCTTTAAGCTCACCATGCTGTAACTTGTATTAAAGTTTAACGCAGAACAGCATCAGTGTTAGGTGATATTCACAAGTGTGTTGTCCTTTGCTTGTGAACACAAAATGCCCATTATGTTTGGGGTCCAAGACCTTACTCCTAAGTGGAGAAGGGATCTTGGTCCCTGGCTAGCAAAGTAGGACAAGCGTTGCAAGGAGGGGACACCTAGTGAGGAAAATGGTGCTGAAATGTGGGAAACCATTGTCTTCACCTGAAAGCATCTGACATATGCCTTGGAAACCAGACAAGCCAATCTGCTTTTACAGCTACTTCCCTTGGTCTAACAGAAGATGCTGATGCAAATTAGCTTCTGCAGTTTAAAGACAGGTGTATATAGTGGGGTGATAGTGCCTCCCAATTTTTGTGACTCCTCAGCGGGGTCGTAGAGCTAGAACTCTGTACTTTGTTTTCTTGATCTTGCTTCTTGTTTCACCATTAGGGGGACAGGAAGGAAGATACTACAGCTCTGACTTCACAGTTGTTTGCTGATTGTGTATAGATAGGGAAATGTAAAAAAAATTATTTAATGCACAAAACCTCCCCACCTCTGGGCACTACAGCTTGATTGTAGCTCGGTGGAGCTCAACAAATGTTTGACATTTGAAAGGAACTCTCTCCCACATGCTGCACCTCTCAAAAGTTGTGTATTTCAGCAAACTAGTGGGATTAAAAATGAGAGTAAACTCTTAATCTCTCCCTAATTAATGTCAAAGATAATGTGACGTCTGGGTGTCTGTAATTCGCCATTCCTGAGCACACTAATTGACAGTCTCAGCTCTCCTTCTTAAGTGGAATTACCCCTGTACTTAACTATGTACTGCATCTTAGTTCAGTACTGAGTCAAAATCATTGGGAACTGTACTCTGTGGAGGTCTGTGTAGCACAAAACAAGTGGTCCCACATCCCAGTGCAGAGAGTGCTCTGGTGGTAAACAGTCCTCACCTCAGAAATGAATGCAAGGTCCTTGTTTTAAGGAAGTCTTGTAATCTTTTAATGAATCATCATGGGTCTCTTAACTTCTCTCCCTAGCCTCTAGCATATTTTAGAATGGCATGGTGTTAATTCAGGCAAATGTTTTGCTGCTGCTGTTTGCAGAAGGCTGGAGGCCTTGCAAGATTCTGCCCTGTGTTTAGGTTTACCCTCACTGTGACTATTGCAAGTGGATGTAATGCTGCTGTGACAGGTCTTCCTTTGCTTGCTTGGAGAAGACAGTGGTGAGCAGCCTGACAGTCTGCAGCATGCCTTGTTTCCTTCTTTTCTCAAACCAATACTGTCTTTCATTTATAGGCTAAGCCTGTTCTAACTCATGTGTGCGTAAAAGGAATCTTTGTGGCTGAAATTACTGATGTTCACATTTGCCTTTTCCTCCTTCAGGGTATTTGAACATACAGTCATGGCCTGAGAACATGACAGATTTCAGGGTGTTTTCTAACTTGGTTACCATCGGTGGAAGAGCTCTCTATAGGTAAGATACTTCCTCTGTTGCTGGAATAATTTTTTATTAGTGTTCAATGATTCTTTGTTCAGGAGCACAGAATGCAACATCCTTTGAGAAGGACATCATAAGTCATTCTATTTTTCTCTGTTACCAAGGTATTCATTACCAGTGTCTTTGCTAATCATTGCTTATAATGGGTAATACCTTCTGAACATAATTCTTAAAAAAGTGAAGGTCTTGGTTCATTGCTGTAGCTTAATAGCTCATGGACTCATTGTCCAGAAAGTACATTTTATGGTTTAAAATACCTTGTAAAGAAAAATAACTTACAAGACAAGAATAGTAGAACTTAGCCCCATTCTGAGGAGTTTTTATGGTTGCATATAAACTGTTGGAAGTGCAGGCTCATGTGCCCCAAGAACCATGTGGTTTAAAGAGGTAAAAGGTAAATACATGGATGAGCACTGAGATCATCTTGCAGGTGAGGTGTCCATGAGCTCTGTAGTGCCATTCTTACCAGAGATATTTCTGTGTGAAAACTCATACAGAGAAAATGGTTTGAAATGAAAGAAAACGTGGTAAGAAATAATAGGGGAAGCACAATGTGGTACCTGAGTGGTATGATATATATAGCAACCCTTGGGTCCCCATTGTGGAGGTGTAGTAAATCAGGCATGGGATTCTGCTGGCATCTTCAACAGCAATCCGGACAGAATATGAATAGCAGAGAAACCTTGAGGTTGAATTACAGCCCAACATTCTGTTTCGAAGCAGCATTTTTTATTGGGAACAGCTGGAAAACAATTATAATCATTAAAATACAATAACTTAAAGGATGCCCAGAAACTGGATATTGTCTTCGCTAATCTTCAGTCATAAAATATGTGCAGTCATTTCCATGTTACACAGACAATCATTTACTGTTCCTTTGATGAAGAAAGGCGATAACCACATATTACAACAAAAGAAAAATGAAATGTGGAAAGTGGGCTGGAACAATTTCCTTGAAAATAACAATTTCTTCCTGTATTACTTTAAATGACATTAATTTGATGCCTGCCAGAAGATGTTTTAATACATTTTGCATGACTTTGTCAGTTTCTCTTTAGCATATAAACTATCAGGGTGTTAATCCTGTTGAAAAAAAAATCAGAATTTTATTCAGTTTTCCTAACAGCACATTATCTCAAAAAATACGTTAATGGATGAAATGGAACTAGTTGAGGAATTCTGCTTAAGTTGTGCCTTCTGGAGTTAATTCCTGTTCTCTCTTACTTTTGTTCTCATCACAGTGGCCTTTCCTTACTCATTCTAAAGCAACAAGGCATTACCTCTCTGCAGTTTCAGTCCTTGAAGCAAATCAGTGCTGGCAACATCTACATAACAGACAACAGCAATCTGTGCTACTACCACACTGTCAACTGGACCAGCCTCTTCAGCACTCCCAGCCAAAAGACAGTGATCCATCGGAATAAAAGGGCAGAGAACTGCAGTAAGTACTGTTGCTCAGTGCACATCATTGTCTCTGTGGTTGGCTCACCTGGGGCAAAGTGATAGAACTACTGACAGGTTATACTTCAGTGAGCAGGCCAGAAACTCAGCTGATGTCTTTTGGAGCTCCATGGACATCAGTGGAGCTGTGATCATTTACAGAAGATAAAGATTTGGCCCAGTCTGCCTCTAATAACCAAGCCTCCAATCTTGCCAGCTAGAGCATTTGTGGATGGCTTGTAGTTCTGGTGTGCAGTGCGGTTTTTTCTGTTCCTGCATAGGAAGCCAACTATGAAACATAGTGTATTAATTGGCAGCAGGAGGTGTTGCCAAGGAAGAGAATCATCTGCCCAAGGATGGTGGACTGCTGTTTGCTTTCCCCTGCAGTGGGGTTGAAGTTTGATAGGCTCAAGTGGTGAGGAACCACCTAGTTCTGTGCTAGCAGTCTATTAACAAGTGTATTCTGTATGTCATGAAGAACGAATTAGCCCTTTGAGATTTCCCGTGAGGAATTTCTTGACCTGACAGATCAAGCAGTCTGAAGAAGTACAAGGTCTTGATGACAATGCAAGAGTCACTAGGGTTGTATTCCAACATCCTAATGGTCCTATCTTGCCAGGAGATACAGGAACTTGCAAACCTTTCAGAAAGCACAGGTTTCCTCTCTAATATATGAAGAACTGCTGATCATGGGAGAAAAATCATGCTCTTGGTGCTCTGATGTTTTCTAACATCAGATTTGCTGTAGCTGTCTGATAATCATTCCTCATTTAATGAAAGAACAATCAACTTCTTCTGTTCCTAGAGATACAGTATTAAAATAAAATAAGCAGCAATAAGGTGGAACATAGGCCTCATGTCTCATACAGTGATGCTTCCTCTTTGCTTTAAGCTCCCTATAACTTGCCATGTGTTAGAAGACAATAGAAAGTCACTCAGAGGTAAAGTTTGTAAGGTGCTTTTTCCTTCATGGAATAGTGTCCCAGTTGTTTCACTGGTTTTGAGACCTTGGGAACATAGCTGAATACAGTAGTTTGGAAGATATTCCCATAATAATTGTCAGGAGTCCCTTGTCAAATACCTCTTTGCCCTTTCCTGGGATCACTCAATTTGAGTCCCTTTGAAGCTGCCACAACTTCTGAGACATGGACTTCCAGGGCAAACAGAAACTTGGATATGCTGTTACATCATCATCTTGCATTTTTGTCTTGTCATTACATTTGCACACAAAGGGAAAATGTAAACTTTAATTCACTTCTGGCTTGTTGAAGATTTGTTGTAACAGAGACTCATCATTTTCCAGGAAGCAAAATACTCCTCAAGATATTTTAGGAGATATAACACCAAAGGAGTCTTAACGAGTGAAACAAATCTCATTCATTTCATTTGAAGAAGTTGCAATGTAAGCTACAGTACCAAGGGACTAGTTTTAAGGATGGACTCTAACCTGTGTTCGTTAAGTGGACTGTGTATAATGAACACAGGCCAAGGGCCAAGCGACTCCAATCGAGAGGCAGTGCAGTCCTAACAGGGACAGTGCTTTCCTCTCTCCATCCATGTCTGTGTGAATGAATGGGTTAATATTTTGTGGCCTTTTGAGATTCAGCATTAGCTGAGAAGAGTTATCCTGCTCCTTCAGCTCTGCCTGGCAGTCAGCACCTCTCAGGGGTTAAATGGGTCTGATGTCTAACTAAAATCTTATGATTTCTTGGAGTAAGGCATCACTGTATCTTAGAGCCAGATGCATTTCTCTAGCATCCTTTGAAGCATCTGTGATTTTCAGGGTAGGCCAACAGACTGTAGTTTAGGAGAGTTTTCTGTGCTCATGCCTCAGAGTGACAAATAAGACTCATCAGAATGGGGAAGGGAGATGTGTAAGTAAATATTTGCAGGATGAGGATCCATCCTCTGTGGCAGAAATACTGTCTGTTTCTATGTATGGAAACTACCAGGCCATGATTTATTAATAGAAATATCCATTAAGGAACATTTTTTCATGATTCCCAGTGAAGAAACAGTGTAAACCATGTTAATCATTACAGTTGCTCTCAGGTATGTTTATTGTTATTTCTTTGAATGTGTTGAGTCACTATCAACTTGAGCTTGTTTCCCTCACTACCTAGTGATTGTTAATGGTTCAGAGCAAATTACAGAGAACATCTTCTATCAGTGTGTAGCTTTTCTTAACACTCATGGAAGAGGTTCCAACATCTAGTCACCATTGTATGTAAGTGACTTTTATGATCTATCACAAGTTGATGATATCTTTTCCATATCATTTAACACTCTGTTCAGCTGACTTTATATGTCAGTGAGAAAATACTGAAAAATTGTTGAGGGAGTGAAATTTTTGTGGAAAAGTTTGTCTATATTAATACTTCATCTTTGAGACAATACTGACATGTAAATTTTGACAAAACTCAGGGTTTTTTCAAGAAAAAAAACAGAGTTTTTTTTCCACAAAGAAGGTAAAGACAACAGACTTCAGCCAGTGAAAAATGCTACAAAATTATCCAGCACACAAAATATACTTTATACTCCTGATACCCTCAATTACTTCATCTTGCTGTTTATACCACTTGTTAACAATGTTAAAATCCTCACAAAATATTTCACTACCTCTGAGATGGCTTTTCCACATGCTGGTTAAAAGCCTAGGGCAGGCTTCCCTTTTTTGTAGAAAGCTGAAAATACAGGAGCAAAACATAGATGTATATTTTTAATTTAAGGAAAAAATCCATAAACCCCAAGATGCTTTTACTGCTTGGTGTTGTCCTTCTAGCATTTTCCCATGCAGAGCCACAAAGAGGTGGGTACCTGGAAGGAATGGCTTTTCCACATGCTGGTTAAAAGCCTAGGGCAGGCTTCCCTTTTTTGTAGAAAGCTGAAAATACAGGAGCAAAACATAGATGTATATTTTTAATTTAAGGAAAAAATCCATAAACCCCAAGATGCTTTTACTGCTTGGTGTTGTCCTTCTAGCATTTTCCCATGCAGAGCCACAAAGAGGTGGGTACCTGGAAGGAATGTGAGCCTTCTCCTCCTCCCTACACATTCTGGGGTAGAAATGTCAGCATCCAAGCTTGTGTACACAGGGAACATAGGAGAAATCACCATGGAAAGGACAGAGGTATGTGATCATCACGGAGGCTTCTGGGTTTGGGGGCAGGCTACAGGAGATTTGAAGGCAAGGGACAAGTTGAGGCTTCGACAGCCATTGCACCTTTAGCACAGTCAGGTAGTGTCTCCCAAGGTTGTTTAAGAGTTCAGATGGCAAATGGGCAACTTCGAACTGATAAGCCAAATGGAAATTAATTGGAGAGCATTTATCTAAAATGCAGTTCATGAAGCTGTCATCTAATGTAGACTTTAATTGTCTGCTACTATAAACTGTAATGTTAAACACTGTTCATAAAACTCACTTTGTTATGAACATCATTAATGTAGAATGAATGACTAGAAAGTTATTTGCTAGAGAATGTGCTCTGGTAGTTAGATTTTACCCTTGCTCTGTGCTGAAGTGAAAAGTCTGCCTTTTTTTTCCCAGCATGAGGGGTTTTTTTATGGAACAGTGAGAGGTGACTCATGTGAAATATGAGTGCACGCAAAATAAATGCAAAAAAATGTTCTTTTATACAAAGTTAATTAAATAATTCTTTCAGCTTTAGTGACACCTGCAGTGTAAGGTGAAACCTTTCTAGGCAAAGGGTGTTATAAATGTGATTGTTATGAATTATATCAATTTAGCCACCAATTAACAACTTGAGTAAATGATTGCATTAGTTATAGGGCATGATACAAAGCTAATTGAGGTCTGCAGGAGTTTTTCTGTGGACTTCATGGAGCTTTGGATCAGGCCCATAAGTGTAGAGCCAAATAACAATAATTTTTCTTATTTTAGTAACTACTTTTTTGTTTTCTATCTAGATTAGGGAAAAACATTAAACCTTTCTGCTTCTAACCTGTGTGACCCCATTAATAAAGAATGAAGCCTTCTTCCAAAACTCCTGATGAAAATGAGTTCCTGTCAAGAACATTATTGTTCTTTCCTTCCACGTGTGGCTCTGTGATATGCTGGAGCTTCAGAACATGCTCAGCCCATGGAAATGCCAAATAATGTGTCTAAAATTGAAGCATTTCTTTAGCTATCCTGATAATTAAAGAAGGGGAAGACAAGCATAATGGGTTTTATATGCTGTCAAAACAACCACTCCCTTCTTGCCAAGATTCATTTATGAAAACATTTCTATTTCCTAGAAATGAGCAGAAGGAAATAGTGATTTTTTTTGTTTCTGTGTTTTGGGTTTTTTTCACAGACTACATACACTGTGTTGGCTAGATTTCAATAATCATGATTTTCTTTATTGAAAAGCTTTTTTTATTTGCTTAAGGTTGCTCAGTATATTTTCTGAGCTATCCTGTTATAGTATCTCTTGCAGTTTGAAGGGATATTTCAGTGCAGCACTGTGTGTGTGAATTAATTCTGATCCCAGAGTAGACTGACAGCTGCAAATAGTGAAAAGAAAGGAAATCCTAGTAATAAATCACAATTTCAAGTTACCAAAAAAGTGAGAAAGCGAGTAGGAAACTACCTTTCAGTGATAAGTGTGGAAAGCAAAATCAGAAGAATTACTGAAACTGAAAATGAAAACAAAGGGATCTCCAAAGCAGTATCATTTTTTTATTGTGTGACAAGTACTTAAAGTCAATCATTGACTAGAAAATAGAACTCTTCACATAAAAAGTTGGCTTAATTGGAACTGGGATAGTTTCTGGATTTTCCTTCTATCTTTTTCTTTGCTGATACAGTTTAAGGCTGAAGCTGTCTGTTAATCCCGGGTGTCCCTGTGGCAGGCAGTGTGAGGCAGGACTCATGTTTGTCTGGTCAGTGTCAGTCACACATCAACAGAAGATCAAGGGAGATTGGCAGACCAGGTGTGAAGTGCTGGAGGCTGCTCGGAGGGAGCCCTCAAGTGTGCTCTAAACCCTGAGGCATAATTGGGGGTCCCCTGAAATGACTACCTGTGCCACTCAGAACTTTTTCTGGGTGCTCCTGTAGCCAATGAATGTGAAAGGGGTCAAAACTGGCCTTGAATACTGAGTCAATGCACCTCTTGAACTGTACTGCACATAGCCAGCATGAGACAGAAACACAAGAAATGTCTATGAAGCAGGTGAAAAGGAAACTGTGAGCTAACGTGTAGCATTTGCTAGTGCAAAGCTTTTGCCTAGTTCCTTTGATTTCTGTGGAGTTCAGTCAGTGACAGCATAGTGGAACTACTGACATCTGATAGTTGTTACAAAAATGTTACTATGCTTAAAAGAAGTTAGGGTTGAGACTAATGAAAAGCTGAATTTTGAGTCTCTGCTCATACTGGCTTTACTGGGGTGGCTCTTTGGATTGCAGCAGAAACACTGCTGGTTTGCAGCAGAGCTCAGGGAAGGAGCCCGAGGCATCTCTCTGAAATGCCCTGTTGAGCAGTTCAGGCCTCTCTTGCTGTGCTGGAATCTGTGATAATTAATACACTTTGAAGGACATTAAATAACCACTGGGAATGACTCCTAAATGTAATTTTTTTATGTTTGCCTGTACCTGATTTGAGCTTTGAGGCAAAAAAAAGAGGCCAAAAAGATACTCCTGAATACCTTTTGGATGCTGGCATTAAAAAAAGATTATTAAAAAAGGTGTGGTCAGATATTCCAGCCTTGATGAAATGTGTGCAGACTTCTCATGTCTGAGGTTATTTGTGGTGTATTGAATAAGAGTAATAATAATAACATGCATCTACCCACTGAATTACATGTCCTGTACAGCAGAGCTGTGCAGGGTGGGCAGCAGTGCAGTACAGGTAGGAGGCATGCTGGTAGATCTCTTGTTCTTGGATCAGTTTGCCTGCAAGGGCTGGAGGACATGAGATATTTGATTGGTTCCTATGCTGCTTGTAAAGGTGAAATGTCCTTTTTTTGGTACTGAATTATGAAAACAGTGCAGGCAGCAAATCAAACAAGTAGATGAGGATCTGCCACTTTCAATCTCAATAAAGCAATATGTCCTGTTGCAAGAAGGAGGGAAATAGACAAGAAGCTTCACTCCTCTTGCCTAGGTGCAATGTGGGCTAGAGGAGAGACCATGCATACAATTGTTGTTTACTGTTGTCTGATCAGTGCAGTGGTCAGGAAGCAGGGGGACAGGGATAGCCCAGGCACTGTGTAGCAAAGGAAAGGACTGCTGCTGTGACATGGACTTCATGCATATCAGCAAGAAAAAGGAGGTGCAGGAGTTGCCTGGTAGGAAATAGGAGAGGACATGAGCCAGGCATGCTGTAGAGATCAGGAAGATTTGTTTGACAAACAGGGTGCCAACATCAAACAGTGCTGTGTGAGGGAAAGCTGTGTGATGGAGGAGAGGGTCAGGAGTGTTGCTGCATGAAGCAGTGCTGTCCTGTACTGTCAGCTGCTATGACAGATACCCAGTGCTTCAGTGTGGGACATTGGATAACCCATTTTAAACCATGCCTTGGAGAGCAGAAAGCATTTTTCTGCTGACTCTCCCATGAGTGTAGAATCACAGAATATTCAGAGTTGGAGGGGACCCACAAGGATCATCGAGTTCAATTCCTGGCCCTGCACAGGATGTGCCTGAGAAGAGTGTCCAAATGTTTCTTGAACTCTGTCAGGCTTGGTTCTGTGACCACTGTCCTGGGGAGCTGTTCCAGTGCCCAACCACCCTCTGGATGAAGAACCATTTTATAATATCCAGCCTAAACCTCCCCTGACACAGCTTCAGACCATTCCCTCAGGTCTTCTCTCTGGGAACCAGTGACAGGATGTCAGTGCTGACTCTCCATTTCCTTCTGCGAGGAAGTTTTATGCAGCAATGAGGTCTCTCTTCAATCTCCTCTTCTGCAGGCTGAACAGACCAAGTGACCTCAGCTGCTCCTCATGTGACTTCTCCCTCAAGGCCTTTTACCATCTTCGTTGCCTCCTTTGGACACTCTCTAATAACTTAATGTCTTTCTTATGTTGTGGTGCCCAAAACTGCATACAATATGCAAGGTGAAGCTGCAGCAATGCAGAGTAGAGTGAGACAATCACCTCCCTTGACTGGCTGGCGATGCCATGCCTGATGCACCCCAGGACATGGTTGGCCCTCCAGGCTGCCAGGGCACACTGCTGGCTCATATTCACCTTGCCATCAGCAAGGTCCCTTTCCATGGCATTACTTTCCCTCGTCTCGTTCCTCAGTCTGTACATGTAGCCAGGGTTGCCTCATCCCAGATGCAGAATCCAGCACTTGATTTAGAAGGGCTTTGTGCTTCTTAGGTGATAAAACTCAGTATACTCTTTAATTGTTAAGGTAGATTGTAATGGACAGTACCTACCTCACTGTTCCAGCCTGGACAGGAGAGAACCATCAGGTATCCCGAAAGGAAAATATGGCTTTATTCTCCTGTCACCCAGCTATGCTGCTATACTGAAAGAAGTGTAGAAAATTAGTCCATGAAGGATCACTGTCTTTTTATTTCATATAAACCTGCCAGGGGGCTTTTTGGATTTCATGAAAACATTTTACCATTGCCTCTCTTTAAATGTGTGCTGGGTGTAACTGTTTTGTACATGTATTCAGTGTGTGTGTTTGTTCCCAACCATTCATCTTCATGCCACAGCATTGGAGGGGTTGTAGAATTCTACCAGCACACCTATTTTTAATTTATTATTTAACACTTCCCTTAAGTTGTTTCCAATGGCTTAAAAAGCAAACAAGTGTCTATATTTTTGCCATCTCTGATATTTCGGGTCATTGCTGGTCTTAATTTATTCAGTCCAGTGTGTAATCCATTTGTGTAGAGCATTTGTGTAGAGGGGAAGTGGAGGGGCAAGCACTGACCTCTCCTCTGTGGCAACCAGTGACAAGACCTGAGGGAATGGCCTGAAGTTGTGTCAGAGAAGGTTTAGGTTAGTTGTTAGAAAAGGATTCTTCCCCCAGAGGGTGTTTGGGCACTGGAACAGCTCCCCAGGGCAGTGGTCATAGCACCAAGCCTGACAGAGTTCAAAAAGCATTTGGACAATGCTCTCAGGCACAATGTTCTCAGGGATGTCCTGTGCAGGGCCAAAAGCTGGACTCGATGATTCTCGTGGGTCGATTCCAACTCTGAATATTCTGTGAATTTGTGATTTCATTGGGCAAAAGGAATTCAAATTAAGAGATCTGTCCTTTCACATGCCAGAGTTTGGGTGAAACAACACCCAGAGTTTCTTCAGGTGCTGGAGAGATAACGTTTCCTTTTGCATTTTTCTTATTTTCTCCATCTGTCATATCCAGATATTTACATAGAGAAGGATTTATATAAAATGAAAATACAGACTTACGCTGTTCGAAACAAACTTTCACTCTCAGCCTGTGTTCATTGTTTATTTTGGTGTGGGTTTGGGGGTTTTAATATCTAAAGGTTCTTTGGCTCTTCGGGAGCTTTTGCAACAAATAATTTTAAAATTGCAATTAACAGTGACTTTCCTTCAACTTTTTCTCCACCATCCATAAATTCTATTTCAGGCAATTCTCAATTCACAGGTAGTGCTTGTTTTTTAGTTTAATAGTCCTTTCATGGATTTGGAGAATTGATTATTTTATTTAATCCTTTAAATTTTTGGCGTTTAGCACACCCTGTGTCAGGAAAGTCTGCAGGTTGGTCTATCCTTTCTATGAAGAAAAAATCTCTGTTTTGAACCCGATTGGATTCCTGTCTCTTTGAATGCCCATGAGGGACTTGGAAGAAGCAGTGAACAGTTGTTTCGTGCTTACTTACCTCCTGGTTGTCATTCAGGATTTTATAGGCCTTTATCACATCCTTTTTCACCCGTCTCTAAGGCTGCTTTTCTGTTTATTCCTGGTATAGAAGCTCTTCCCTGGTTTGATCATCCCTGTGGCTCTCCTTTAAATCTTTTTCTTGCTCTATTTTTTCTGAAAGGAGAAGACCAGAGGTGTGCACAATATTCCAGCTGGGAGTGCACAGTGTGTTTCTCTAGTGGTGTGATGGTCATTTTCTGCTTTTTCTCTGTCCTGTTTCTAGAAAATCTGAACACTGGGTTTACTTTTCTGAGCATGGTGGAATGCTGATGCAATGTTTTGCTTTGGAATTCAGAGGACTGTGAACACTAATGACAATATCCTCTCTCTCTGCAGCTGCTGATGGAATGGTGTGTAATGAGTTATGCTCCAGTGATGGCTGCTGGGGCCCAGGGCCAGACCAGTGTCTCTCCTGCAAACGCTTCATCAGGGGAAGGACCTGCATAGACTCTTGTAACCTGTATGATGGGTAAGATACTCCCCTCACACTTTTCCTTGAAGTTACTGGTTAAGTTGTTCAAGACTTTAATGAGTAAGTTATTTTGGATTTACATTAATCAATATCTGGCTCCGTTGCCAATATTACTGATTTTGAGTGAAATATATTGTGGGATAAGATTTAAGGATTTCTAAATCTGAACTGCTGTTCCGCTGCCTAAAATTTTCATACAATATCAAAAGTTTGTTGTGTTGCTGATGATGTGCACAATTTGATTTAGGTGAAGACTTGTGAAAAACTCACCATTTATCCCTGCTTGAATACTGACACACATATTCAGAATCATACAATTATGTTCTTTCAGATGAGTTAGCTTTAGGTATATGATCAAGAAATTCTCTGAATAATAACCCCAAATTAGGAAAATACTTTCTTTTCATTCACTGTCTTTCTTGTTTCATGATGCCCTGTGTAATCATGCACACAAATACAAATAATAAAACCCAACATTAATTTTTCCCTCCCTTTCCTTCTGCAGCTTATGCTGAGGAAATACCTACATACAGCACAGCCAAGGTGTCTGAATATGCCTTCTGGCAGAAAATTGGAGCTGAACTGCCCACATGAGCTGCAGAAGCAGAAAATCATGATTAGGCTGTGGAGGGAAACAGATGGAATTTCCCTTCTTGTGTAACAGTATAGCAAGGTCCCACACACCTCTTTTAAAGTCAAGATAAAAAAAACCTTAAATTACTTAAATTATTATTTACAGCTCAAACTGCTAATTAAAAATAAGATCACTCTATGGTTTCATTCTCCTTCTTTTCCTGCCTTGGATGCCAATTTATGTAACTGTTAAGGAAAAAGTATCGAATGAAGTTATACATGAAAATATTCTAAACTCTTCTATTTGAGGAATGCATGCAAAAAATACTTTGTCAGAGTCCAGTTTTATATGCTTAAAAGCTCCTCTCGCCTCTCCTTTCCTCTCCTCCTCCCTTGCCCCCCACTAAAAAGAAGAGCTGCAGACCACAACTGTGGTTCATGCTGTAGGACAGCAATAGTAATTCAGAGCAGGGTCAGCTGTATTTGACATCTCTTTTAGTCCTCAACAGGAAAGACTCACCTCCAAAGCCAGAGGAGGGTGAGCTCCCTTGCAGCAGTCAAGTGAGGTTTTCCTCAGCTTGATCCTAATGTCCTCAGCAGATCCTAATGGCTGTAGAGGAATGGAGGGTGTGCAACAACAAACTAAGCATAGAGGCCTTCACTCTTTACCTGGATGTTACTAGAGTCCACTAGCATGAGTGTGCAGCACATCTTTAACTGGTTAATGCAAATATTTTAACTGATGGGATATATTTTAATGAGATGGGATTCATCCACAAAGCTTAGGTTGGTCCAGCCTGAGCTGGTTGCAAAGATTCTATCCTTAGTAGGACAACAACCTGTTCAGATATTAATTCATCTCAGTTTAGACGAAGGTAGGATGAATTGTGTTGAGAGAGTGCTGGAGGTTTGTGGTGAGGGTAACTGGCAGCTGAAATGTTTGTAGGAAGAAATCCAAGCTAACATCAGTAGATTTTTTTCCTCTCTTATATGCGGTTAATGAAAAGAGCCTCTTGGGTGATAGATTGACCTCAGTCTAGAATTGTTGTTGAAAATGCTAGGAGCCTTGTGGAGAATAGGGTTTAAAACAAGAGTGTTCATAGAGATGACTAAAGCAACAAGAGCAGCACTGTCATCAGTGTTCACATGTAACAAGTGGCTTCCTGAATCTGAGCCATGAGTGACAATTCTGTAGATGAAAATCAAGAAAAGAGCTATTTTGTCCTGTTAATGAAGTCTGTATTTCTTAAGAAAAGAGGGGGGAAACCCTGCAGTTTTATACTGGTGAACAAGATGTCTTCTAACTCACCTGGCTGTGACTGAGGTTGCTGATGGGGCCTTGTTTGTAGCTGGTGTGAAGCACTGTGATGTCATTGCCATTTGTCTTAGTCTCAGTCTGAATTTGGCTTTCTCCTAACCTGCCTGCAAAATGTTTTTCTAGGGAATTTCGAGAATTTGCAAATGGTTCTGTCTGTGTGGAGTGTGATCCCCAGTGTGAAAAGATGGAAGAAAACATGATTACATGCTATGGACCGGTAAGAACAAAATTTTTTACGTTACAGGGTAACTTGTGAAAGTTACCTGCTAAAGCACAGGCATTTTCTGCTTACAGGCTTTAAAGCAGCTATTGCAAATTAGGGTTATCAAAAGCAGAAAATGTGCATATTCTGCAGGTAGAGAAAGAACTCTGCTCATGTTAAATTGGTGCTGGGAATAAACTTCCTTGGATCAGCCTTCTTAAGAGAGATTTAAAAAGTTTTTCTTTTCTTTCCTGAGTTGTCTTACAGATGTGCAAGATTTCTATGGACAGAGTTGTGATTTGAATACCCTCTTTTATCCCTGTTTTCATTCTTTACTGTCAGTTCTGTCCTGTTCTACTACAACTTCAGTTAACTTTTTTTTTTTCCATAAAAATAAGTGTGGGAATTTGTCTCTGTCTCTCAGTTGGAACAGTTTTTGTTCTTAGGTTAGGGCTTAAGTTGTTTTGATAGGCTATTTTTTAATGCACTCTAAATGAATGTTAACTCTGGCTCTCACCTTTATAATGGCTAGTAAGTCTTTTCAAAGATTATTGCTCATTTGTGAGACAGAAGTTGTCTTTTTGTGTTAGTTTTCCTGTATATTGCCAAGATTCAAAATCACAAGTATTCCTTGAATGAGGAGTTGTATTTTAGGCTCATTACCACTGAGAAAATTTAACCCATAATTTATTTCCTTACTTCTGTGACTTATTGAGTGGGAAAAAAAAAGAGTCATCAACACTTTTGCTACAACACTCTTGTTTTCTGCAACACAACCATAGGGCAAGAAGCTTCAAGTGTTCAACCCATGAGAGAAATTTGGATTTGTAGTAGGGCTTATGGACATAAAATCCTAGACCAGTGCTCAACCTGAACACTAGATTTGGTTATGTATCATCACAGCTTTAAAATTTTACTTTTACATTGTCCAGGAGCCTTGGCTATAGTCTGTAGCAATTTAGTCACATATATAGTCTGTAGCAATTTAGTTACATATGTATTAAGAAGGAGACAGTGTAGTTCCTCAGTGTTTCTGTGACCAGATGCCACATGCAGAATGCAATGTGGAATAAAATTCTGGAGCACAGAGGTATGGGATCCCACTAAAAGGCCATTGCAGTTGCTTTGCACATGGGATTCATATTGAACAATGTTGCAGAAAGTTTCTCAGCATTATAGGGGATACACAGTGCGTTGTGTTAAGCACACCGATAATATTAAGAAATGAGTCTGGAAGCTGGAGTTCAGTCTTGCACTCTGCAGAATAAGTTAATGGCCAAAAGCACCAGGATTTACACATCTGCTGTTCCTTAGTAGAGACTGGAGCCATACAGGGTAATTCAGTGCTCATTGGGAAGAGATGCTACTGCAGTTGTTGCTGAGTGTGCTGTGCTATCAGTCTAGGACCTGCAATTCTAGTGCAACAGGATAAGACAGAGTAACTTGAATGCACTGCATTTCTTTCTTCTATGCTCTCCAGGGACCTGATCACTGCACAAAGTGTTTCCATTTTAAGGATGGTCCAAATTGTGTGGAAAAATGTCCTGATGGCTTACAGGGGGCCAACAGCTTCATTTTCAAGTATGCTGATGAGGATCGTGAGTGCCATCCGTGTCATCCAAACTGCACCCAAGGGTAAGGCCAAATTCTGTGCAGTGAGACATCCAATTTACTGTTCACAGCAGATGATGGTTTATATACAGATTGGCTTAGTAGAGCACTTGTCCCTCTCTTGAAAACAGAGTGTGCAGCAGTAATTTAACCTTTGATTTTCAGGTTTCTCATGACATTCAGGTTCTAGTCATGAATGCCCAGGAGCTTATCACAAAGAAGGTTTTACCCATTTTGTAAACCGTAGGGAACAACTTTTCACAGCAATGCTCTTATAAGGCTTTCCTTCTCACTACCACTGGTTTTCAGCAATTGTTGCCCTTTCACTGAAGTTTAGGTCTGTACAATGATGTTAATTTTAGTATTTGCTTGTAGGTAGAATCTCTGCTTCTTGGTATTGATGACCTAAGCCAGCAGCACTGTTATGAGACAGAAGGGTTTCTGCTTTCTTTTTCCTACAGGGATTGATGTAAAGGGTTTGTCTGGAACCAGACTTTGTACAGGAGTCTGACCAGCAATTCCACAAGTTCTGTCCAAGTGTCCTGAATCACTTGTTACATTTGGAATTGTACAGCCCATGTGTCTGAGCCACAAAATAAGAGTAGTCACAGACACACCTATTGTTTTGCAAGGGCCACGTAAGTTATGAATGCCTCTTCCATGGGACAGTTGCTGGTGTGAAGCATACAAGGAGAGGGAGAGGCAGCCAGGGGAAAAAAAAAGAAAACATCAACCAGTGAAATAATCTTCACCAAGAGGCTCTTATTGTTTAGCAGCTAAAATTAAACCAGTAAATTATTCAATGTAATCTTGATGTCAACAGCTGTTGCCATTCAAAATGAGACCTTTTGCTGGTTTTGCAAATCTAATTACAATAGAACCATTAGGGAAATGAAAGTGAGATGGCAGAGACACAGGCAGGATCCGTTACAGATTTGTCTTCCCCACAGACCCCTTACATCAGTTACGCAATAAGGAAAAAGCTGCTGCTGGGGAAGATGAGCGTAAGAAGAAGCAGTATGAAAAGATGGGCTCACTTCAGAAGCTCTGGTCTTGGCTTTCACAGATAGAGGAAGTGCCAGTTCTGATCTAACCTGACAAGCCCAGCTATGTGTGATGGTTTTACTGTCCGTCTGGCATAGAAAGTGTCTTGCAGCTCTGCTGGCCATCAGGAAGCAACACTTCTTCCCAGTCCCTCTCCTTTTCTGAGGAGTTCTAACTGACCTAACTGTTTCTAGTGTTTGTGGCACAACTGTGTTGCTCCTAGACCAGGAAGGGAGCAGAATGTTTTCCATGACTTTCCACTTCTCCATATGCATGCATATTATGCAAGTGGTTGTTTGTTTTTACCTTCCTGGATAGAATGGGCTTTGATGTCTTGTGCTGAAAGTCTGACGTTCTAATTCTTGAACAAATAGGAAGGGCATTAGGCAGTTGTAACTGACCTTGCCAGGATTCACTGGCAACCCTTGGTGACACAGGCTTCCTTTATGCTGAGTTGTCATTTAATACTTTGATTTTCAGTTTTCCCTTCTTTTTTTTCTGGCCTGCTGATTAGGTGAAAGAACGTCTCATTTAGCATCATGTGCCGATCCCCAGAGAAAAGGACAAGTAAAAGGGCCACAGGTCTCTCTCCAATTACATATGCAAAAGTGTGGTTGTCTCCAAGATAAAGAGTTAGTCCTTTGCCATGAGTCTAATATTATTCCTCAGAGAAATCCTCATCCTCTAATTAAAGAGTTAATGTGTCTCTTCTGAGATATTTTGTTACCCCATATAAAAACAACAGCCACCCGCCCCGATCCCAAGTCTGAGTAAGATGGCAATTCTTTTCTAACGTTCCTAAAGACTTTTTGGCATGTGATTATGTTATTGAAGCTGTTAATGACTGTATGAGATATTTGGGGTATTTTCCACTATTGTCAGGGGCTGAACATGCCCACAGTGAAAAGGGAAATCAGTTAGTCCCTCCTCTTTTCTCCTTCACACTAAATTCTGTAGTTTCACACCCTTCCTTTAGAAATTAATATTTAAATTCCCCTCAGTTATGATTCTTCACTGAAATAGGTTGTGGAGGGAACACATCTTGATATTTGGCTCACGATTGAAAGGGAGAGAGAAACCATAATTCTACTTCATCTAGCATGTCTGCTCTCCTCTCAGATCAAGTGCTGGAATAAAACAATGCCCTCACAGTACAGCTTGGATACCCATCAAAATGTTGAGCTGCTGCAGAGCAGTGCTCCCAGTGTGCTATTGTCTCATTCCTGCAGTGCTGGTCTCTGTGAATCAGGCTGCTTGCTAAAATGGGTTGCTAGTTCTCATAGGTTGTTTCTAGTTATCCCCAACAATTGTCACCAAGGAAGGTATTTGTCCCACCTCTGTTTCCTGTGAGCACAATTCCATCATGGCACTTGCACAGGATTGCTTTGCAGCCTGGAGCTGAGGTTTGATAGTATCATTGTCCTCCCTTATTCAAGTGTAATGACTGCTTCTGTTAATAGGGGTGTCATTATCCAGCCCTGTTAATGATCTTACATTGACCAAGAGAACTGTCAAACTGTGAGTTCCTTGGATGTAACAACTGTGCTCTTGGCCTTGCATCCCCGTGATAAGTATCAGCTACTTGAAGCCAGTTTGGAGCAGATATGCGGCATGTGGGACAGCTATCCCCCTTAATTCAAGAGAGTCAGAAAGCATTTGGCAGCTCTTCTTGCAGGGCTAGCCAAAATGGAACACTTTCACAGGAATAAAATACTAATTATATAATAGTATGTGACAGTCTGCTTCCCTGCTGGGCAAGACACAAATGGGAGATGTCACTGGACACCTCCCCTCATCATCCAAATGCATTTTGTCACACAGCTCTGTGATGGAAGTGCATTACTCTTCAGTAAAACTTTTATTTTCCTTCTAAGCCAAGACCAGAGGAGTCATGGAAGCCTTAGCAACTGTGTGTGGTCCAGGAGGGCTCTGAAAGCAGAATTACTATATTGCTCCTAAAGCTAAGGCGTGCTTTTAGGAAGACATTATGAAAATCAGATAAAACAATATTGCAAGCAAACTCTGGATAAGAAATTGTTACTATTTTGTTTTGCAAAATTTCCTCCTACCCCCTGCCCCACTTCAACTTTTCTTACTCTCACCTTCAGTGTGCACTCCTGTTAGCTAAATAGCTCTTGGCTTTGAGTTGTCTGGCTTTTATCCATAACAATAGTTGGATGACCACTACAACTAAGCTTTCTTCCTGCCCAGAGAAAATCCATTTATGCTTTTGTAAAGTCAGCTTTGTTTGTTTCCTATGACAAATATTTTTGAGAATTCATCTGATTAGAAATGTCTCTGCACACTCAAGACCTCAACTTCCAATCTTAAGGAAAAGTGATGAAAGACAATATTTGTGGCAGAGGGAAAAAAAAAAAAGGATTGTTTCAGGAAAAAAACAGTTGGCACTCCTTAACTCGACATTTTTCTTTCAGAGGATGAGTATCTGTAAAGCTAGGATGAGCTCCGAGTGTAATTTTCTGTGTAAGCTGTATTGAACTGTTGTAAGGTACTGAATATATCATTAATAAATTGGCATGCATCAGTTAATCAGTTCATTTTACAGAGTGAACTTGGAAATGAAAATATCATCCAGACTCCAAGCAGAAGAAGGAACCTTGGGAGTGAATGGAGGACCACTGTGATGTATGATTGTGGCATGCTTGCACTTATATGTGTCCAAAAGCCTGAAACAGAGGAAGTTCCTTTCAGAGGGAAGAGAAGTGATGTCTTGGTGCTGCAAAATACCCTGTTAATAGATATTGCTGTGACTCACACAGTGTTGTACTTCACTGTATGTAATCAGGACAGCCAGTCAGGGAGTAGGAAACTGTTCAACATGACCAGAAGTAATGGAAATTGCACCTGTATAGGGTTTTCTGTTTGGGGATGGAAAATCCACTGAAGGAGATTACAGTTTTAAATAAAAATCAATGGTACTTCAACTTGGACTGGATAAGGTCCAAGCAGCTCCCTCTTCTCGGATGCAAGTCCTGTCCTCCAAAGTCTGAGTGAATAAATGTACAGGTGTGAAGTGACTCCAAGACAACAGACTCTTGACATTGGTCTGCCAGTTATCTGAGCTAGTGATGGGCTCTCAGACCTCTAATTTGAAGATGCCCTTCTTTTTATTTATAGCAAGAACCTGAGCTCAGCTTCTTTTGACATTCTAGGAAATGGAAGATCTGAAGGTTTTTTTCAGCCTCCTTCATTACTGAGTGGGTTTTCTGCAAATTGCTGAGAATGACATGGAAGGATGAAATATTGGATTTGTTTGAGATGGTTTAGAATTCTGAAGATGGGCCTGAATTCTGAAGTCCTGAAGCCCAGGACAGCTGAAATTTCAAAGAAAAGGCACATCACATGATCTCTCTATTAAGTTTTTGAACTGGATTTAAACTAACCCTTTCTGTTTATGCATTATCTAGCCACCTGAGTATATAATGAGTCCTCTTTATATCTGCACATGAGCTGGAGGAAACAATTGTTGAGGAAATCTTTACAGTTTGTGTTTGCATGTCAGAGTTGTTCTGTAAAAATAAAAATTCAAATAAATACAAGGGGTAAGGTTCACTTGATCTGCTCTCCCTGGTGAGCAGGTGAGGGGAAATTGAATTCACTGACTTTATTTTATAATGGCAGAGTGATAGCCAATTTAAATGCAGCAAAAGCTGATGAGTGGCAAGTGATGGTGAAGCAGAAAGAAGATCTCCTGGGAGCATGTTTGAACCCTTTCAGATTTTTGACTTGCATATCCCTCCATCAAAGCCAAATTGAAAGCAGCAGCCCTTCAAAGAATTTGGGATCACACCTTAAATTTAAAATGCCTCAACAGAAGTGAGCTGCAGTCTACTGGTGTGTCAGATCACCTGCTCCTTTAGTAGACATACAGCCAAAGACCCTATTAATAAAATGGCTCTGAGATCTTGTTAAAGAGTTGAAATAAGTGGTTTGGTTTCTTTAAAATGCTGAGAGCTGTGGCTACAGCGGACCTAGCTGGCCATGCAGCATTGAAGGGTGTCAGGGGGTCGACCTTGAGGAGCTTAACTTCAGGTCTCTGAGAATCCTGACTGCTGTGTAAATGTGTAAGTGACTTGCTGTTTGAATGCAGGGGACCTAGGACACCACAGGAGTACTGCTCTTCACGAGGGCATGGAAAATACACCCATACCCATGTTTTGCAAACACGATGCTGCACGTAGTGATTCCCTGCGTTTCCATTGCCTTTAGTGAGCACCTGCTGATTGTGCAGGTGGAGGACTTTTGGCAGCACCTATGGAAAGCAGAAAAAAAATGTCTGAATCAGCAGACACCATTTTGCTCTCTTTTTTGTTGTTGGAAGTTGATCCTTGAGTTTCCCTGTTGAAAAACTGTAGTCAGCTTCCAAAATATTTCTGCAGTTGCCCTGGCTAGTGGCTTAGAACAGAATAAACAATTGCATCAATTACGGAAGAAACAAAAGTTCTGCATTGTGCTCCTGGAGGTCTCATCTTGCAAATGAACAGCCTTTGTGCAGTAATCACTGGTTTGATGATTCAGAAAAACATCCAGAAAAAGCAACTCTATTGTCAGGACTCCCACGTATGCAGGTGAAACCTGCCTTAAGTGTTATTTGAGCCAAGATATGGCCAACCTCGGGGGGCTGTAGCTGTTATTGTTCCTATTGCCATCTTGGTTTTGTCACAAGCTATAATTTTATGGTGACTTGGGTCTCTCTTGAGAATTATAATTAAGAACACAAAGGGGATTCCAGCTTCTTGGATCTGTAAATAACAGATTTCTCTCTTTCTCTCCCTGTTTTCAATTTGGATTTGCTGCAGGTGCATAGGGCCACGTATCGAGGACTGCATCGGCCTGATGGATAGGTACTTGCTGAGTGGTCGTTCCCTGTGTGTCTTCCATCCTCCACGTGTGGACAAGGGCGCATGCGTGTGCATGTCCTTGTGAATGGCAAATGACATCTTTTGTTCTGTAATTGCCTGCAGGTGTAGAGGTCCCGCTAGTCATGACTGCATTTACTATCCATGGACACGCCAGTCCACTTTACCACAACATGCTAGGTAACATCCACCATTTTTCCATTCTTTGTGCACAAGGTCCTGCTCTGGTTGCCACAGGAATGTTATACTATCCAGTTTGTTCCAAAACATGGGTTATGAGGAGAATGTAATTTGTCCTGAAGTAAGATTTTCCTCTCTACATCCAAATTTATTTTTTCATTTGAAAGCCAATTAAATATTTTGCTCATTTAGGCTGATTAGAAAATGCCTCTTTTTTTTGTTGTTGTTTTTCAGCTAAATTCTGAAATTTGCTGCAGGTTTGCATGTTTCTTGATGAAATTTTATTACAAGTAAATGAGGAGAAAGTTCTGGTTAAGTTGAATTTTACTTGTTTTCTACTTGTTGAGTTTTATGTTTGAGACAGAATGTAAAAGCAAATGAAGGTTTTTCTTCCATACACCTCCTCTTGAAAAAATTGTTTTGGCAAAACTGAATTTCATCCTTAATTCACATAACACTATTATTTGATCTTTTTTTTCCATTGTCTGTTAAAAAAACAATTGTAACCTTGCAGGAATTGTACTTTTTATTAATGACAATTGAAACAAATTAATCTAGGTTGTACTCTGCATTCTTTTTCCTGAAAGCCCTTTGTTGTCATTGACTTTGTTTATTTTCAATTCAAACTGGTTAGTATGACTTCCAGGCTTTGGGATTACTGTCCTGAGATAAGACTAGATGAAAAATGTATCATTTCAATCAAGTTCACCTCATTAAATATTTTATTTTGGGTTTTTTATTTTCTTGTCTTTCAAAAAAGATTTTAAGGTTGCCTTTCCTTTCTAGTTGTGTACCTAATGTGAATATTGCTGTTTGTAGGGAGAGCATATTTGGGCTTGAAAATCAGTGCTCTGTAAGTGCTATCCAATGGCATAGTTGTTTATTAAATCAATATCAGTTCTGACTTAATTCATGAACCAATGAATAAGCAACAGGAGATGACTGAGTTATTCAATATATTTCAATGTTCTGTCTGAATCTTTCTGATCTGGGATGTCCAGTTTGAGATACTTCATTTTTCAGATGTACTCATCCGAGCAGAGTTGGTGAAACAAACAATCAGTTTTAAAGGTCTCTCATCAGCTTTACTGAAAGCACAAATAGAGAAAATGTATTATTATTTGCATTATTTTGACGGCCTCACCAGACTGCAGTGGATGAAGTTCTTTTCTTTAGGAACCAATTTAAAAAATACCCAAAAATTTCATCAATTGGATTTTTAATCAGCTTTTGAGGGAGCATAATGACTTGATACTAGGAAGACAAATTATGGGCTGTAGTGTAACTGTCTGGCAGCATTGCAGGCTGCTTGCTGTAGGTTCCTCTATTAGCCCAACAGTCAGTCAGACCTTGTTCACTGTTTAATTCAAGTGGTAGAACTCCAAAACTTACCTCTGTATTGGAAGTGTTCAGGTAGCAGTAAATACACCTCTGGAGGTACTGCCAGATACTCTCTGAACTTGATGGAAAGGCTCCTGTTAATGACAGTGGATGTTAGATTGGGCCCTGTATTTAAAAGTGGAATTAATGGAGTGGAACCTCAAATGTGATAACACAGTAGTAAAGAAAGTGTTGTCTAGTAGGGTGCCAAGCTTGAGCCATGTCTTAGCAGGCAATGCTTAATTTGAGCTTTGTGTTGTCTAAATTGCAGGTTTTGTCTCCATGAATCCACTGTATTGAGCTTTGTGTTGTCTAAATTGCAGGGTTTGTCTCCTTGAATCCACTGTCAAGGTAGTAAAGCAAATTATCAATGGGGGTGGAAATGACAGCAATTGTTTTACTCTGCTCAACTGAATAATTTCCTGCTCTATTCAGTCTGAGGGGGAAGATCCTCAAATGAATCCTTTAGATCTGATGGGGTTTTTTTGTTTGTTCCAACCTTGCTGAATTTATTTTAGGGGAATCACTGCACTGTGTTTAAATGTCATGTGTGTATTCTTCCCCTTTCAAGGCAAAGAAGGAGATTTCACACCTCACTATTAGATTTGTGAAATTGTGCTTTATTCTTTATTGTGAAAATGGTTCTTTTTGTTTGGGATAAAAATGGGCAAAACTGCACTGGCAAAGTGATACTTTTTATCACATTAGGGGTGTGAATCAAAAATGAATGTGTTTAGATAGAACCTTCTTTGTCCCTTTAACAACTGTGTGCCCTCCTGAGACTTACAGACCTTAAATTAATTAATAATCACTTTGACCCTTATCCACTGACTCAAGTTAGTTCCATTGCTATGAATTAGCAGTGAGTTGAAGCGAGAATTCTCTGCTGCTCAGGCTGCTGAAAGTGAGAGCAGGACTTAAACAAGATATTTCACATCTTCACCTATTTCCATTTTCATAGAGGTGTTGCTTTTCTTTCCACTTTTGCAGTTTGCAAATTGGTTTTGCCATGATCCATTGACTTGAGGGCTTTTTTAAGAGTCTGGGAGAATAGCACAGGAACTCTTACTGTTGTGTTTAATAAAGATGAATCAGATGTGCATCACATAGCTTGTTTTCCAAATGACTGGTGAAACTTGAGTTTTCCTGCTTATCTTTGGTCCCTTTAATTTTGTGGATAAAAGAATGTTACTTTTGGTGATGCATGTCTTTCTGCATAGGTTTTTTGGTTTGTTTTTGAGCCCTTAGATTCATCAGAGTTCTGTCCGAAAGGATGCAAGAAAGCCTTTCCTCTTCCCAGTTCCAGAATTCCCCATGCAAGGCGGAGTCCTTGGCATGTAACTATCTTCACCGTTTATTTGTCTTGCTGTCTGTCTCCTTCCGCCCATCCCTGCTGTGCTAAGAATCTCAGCCCAGGGAACAGAGAGAACACAAGGGCCTTGTGTCCTGGCTTTCTCAGCTCCCCATGGTGCTGCCTGTTCTCTGCCTTTAGGGAGTGGGGTGAGTAGGCACTAGATTATTACTTGTAAGGCCTTAGTGTTGGTCCATCTTCTCTATCAGCCTTTCCTAGAAATCACCAAAGCAAAGATGGAAAGCAGATGAGGGCTGGAATTTCCCAGGATGTCCATACGAGTATTCCACCCTCCTTTCCTGCCCTTTGTTACCATGATGCTTCTCCCTTTGATAGCTCCTGACAATTGCAGTCAGTGGTTTCTGTGGCTGGAATAGCATACACGGGCATGGCCCAACATCCCCTGGAACAAAAGAGCAAAAAGAGGAATATGCCTGCTTCAAAGAATGGGATAACCATTTACTAAAAGGAAGAGTCTAAAACTGTAAAAATAATGTTCTGGCATTCATTAAGAAAATACTCTAGGCTGTCAAGAAAGGCTGGTTCTCCTACACTCTCCTCCTCCCAAGTCTACCAGAAAAGTTTGGCTTATTCAGTTATTGAAGCTGTGGATAAAATTTTTACTTAAAGTATGAATTTTAAACTGATTCATCCTTCCTATGATTCATTCAGCTTAATACTAAGAGATCATCAAAGAGGGAGTGAAATTGTGAAGTTTCTCTTTTCCGGTGCATGAGAGATTATAAATCTAAAGATGTGGTCAGAAGCATGTGGTGGCTGTGATAGGAAAGAACCAGCACCTTGATTTTGCTGGTCTAAGTAAGATGATGTCTCTGTTTATGCCCCAAGAAAATTTCATTCACATTTCCCTTTTTACTAACAGGAACTAATTAGCCAGGCCCAGCATTGTCAAGTGGTTAAATAGAATGACGTGTAGATGCTAGCTCAAATTACAATCCTAATGCTAGCTTTGTATCCAAAAAGGACATCCTCTCAACAAGCCATAACTTCCTAAAAAAAAAAAAAAAAGAAGCTGGTTTTATGTACTGCGTGTGTGTACAAGAGCTAATTAACAGTAAACCCTCTGTAATGCAGGCAAATCCTTTCATAGCTGTTTTGTACCCTGTCACAGTATGACTTCAATAGAATTTCACAGCAGCTCTAAGTAGTTGGTGGGGAAGGGAAACCACCTCTAATAAACCGTTTATGTTCATTGCTTTTATGGCACTCTGTTCTGTTGCTTGGAGGAAAGCATTCCATATGCTCTGTATTTTTATAGAATAATTATAGTTGTTCTGGAGGGGAAGAGGATCTCTGTGTAAAATTAGAGGGAAAATAAGATCTGTGAGTACAAGCTAAGCTACGTTACTTGATTGGTGAAAGATGCTACTCTTGAGAGACTTTTAATGTGGAGCTTTCTGATGCTGAATCAGAACAGAGCAGTTGAATAAACTGATGTGTTTTTTAAGAATCAAGACTACAAAAACAGACCATTTCTGATCCTGGCTCTGTGGGTTGAATAGAGCTTACATGTGATCTGTTTAGGACAGGCTGATAGAGAAATCCCAGTTCCGTGTGAGAACTTGCTGCTACTGAACTGGTTCTCAAGCCAGACTTGGCTGAGGGCACTTTTATTGTTGCAACAGCATTTCCCTGCCTGAAACTTTAGAACGAATACATTTGGACTATCCCTACGACATGAATGAAAAGTCACTGATTTTGTGAGCTCCTCCACTTATTGCTACTTCCACTTTCTAAGAGTAGTCTTCATGGGAAAGGGGATGGGTGGGTTTTCCTTCTTTCCTGCTGCACAGACTTACAGAATGTTTTGTCTTGGAAGGAACCTTAAATACCATCTACTTCCAATCCCCTCCATGGGCAGGGACACCTTCCACTACACCAGATTGCTCAATGCCCCATCCAGCCTGGCCTTGAACACTTCCAGGGATGGAGCATCCACAGCTTCTCTGGCCAAGCTGTTCCAGTGCCTCACCATGCTCACAGTAAAGAATTTCTTCCTTATATCTAACCTAAATTTCCCCTCTTTCAGCTTGAGATTTGACCACAGATAATAAAGCTCTCATATTAGAACTTCTGTTCTATACGAGGTTCAGAAAGATTTGTCTGTGATCAGTGAGGATTTCGGCTTCATCTGCTCTACTCAGCAATGTTGGCTGGTGTGGTCTTACAGTATGGAAGGATTTGGTAGGATATGCTGCTATAGAGAGAAATAAACTGTTAAGGCTGGAAGAGGGAAAGAACTAGAAGC